TGTACTGATTGTGGTTAACGCACCGCGTCTGAGTGAAAATAACCGCACTGTGTACAGTGTGATTGCTCCATCGTTTTCGATCGTCTCGTCCCTCTCACTCGTGACCCTCTGACCCCCTAATATGATCTGATTGGATCATATTCCGCGATCTGCGACGCTTGAAACCTCTCACCCCAACACGAGACTGTTTGATTACTGGCTTGTACGTTTTCTAATGCTGTTGTTGTTACGTCCAGTCCATCCGAGTGCTGATGGCACTCCTGCTGCACAAAGTTCACTGGGCCTGCCTGAGACTCACTCGGATTTGTTAGGCAAGCACCAGGTCCCTTGTTACGGCTGAACCATTCGACCGATCGATAAATGAACCCAATCAGTCGTGTGATTTTCGGGCTGGCACAGGAGGAGCATAGGTTCCGAATCCGATTTTGCCTAAGTGTTGTGAGAGAATCACCACAAGAGAATCAGTTGTGGAGAGGAGTACCATGTGGGAAATTCGGAATGGAAAATGCTCAAGCGATGATGACACTGGGCCAACGCTTGACTTGCTCGTCTAAGATACACGCACTATTTTTCGAAGCGGGTTCGGTAAGCAGATAATCATAATAAAACTTTGAACTTGTCTTATTAACGGGCAACAATATCCCCTATTGTAGGATCACGCAAAACTCTTCTTGCTTTTTTTCACAACTGGCGGTTTTCGCGCAGAATGATCTCACTAACTGCGGCGTAGAAAGAATTCCGAAAGAAAGAAAGAACAAATTTCACGGAAGAACGCATGTTTATTTTATAAAATATGTTCCATATGTTTTCGATTCTGGTGCTTGCATGACGAAATCCGGTGAAGATAGTTTTATTTCACCTTCAGAATGGTAGCAGTTGGAATACTTTAAGCTCCTCGATTTTCGGGAATAAACGGTTCACTCTAGATATTCTGACAGAAACAAATTAAGGGATTAGGGGATCTTTGAGATCGTTCCTTTGGTCCTCCTCACACAATTTGTTTACGTTTATATTCCGAATCGAGGAAACTAGTTACAGAGCATTGTGCGGTCGTGCACCATCCTATTGAACCCAAACTGTAGTACCAACTTCAGTTTCTATACACCAGGTCCCAGCTACTACATTACCTTGTACGATTTGCAGGTATGAGGCGCCCTAACCAATGTTATAATCAAACTGATTCTTACCTGTTACGGTGCGGTTGAAAAAGTACGGCCCGACAATCTAGCCCTGGATAATACTAGCCCAAACCAATACCTTGGATGTATGAAGCAATTTTGATCCAACAAAGTGTCTGGTTTCTGAATATAGATTTTGATGGTTTTATGTGCACTTTTCTCTCCAGGTATTGCTCCATAAGTTTCTTCAAATTGTTTTCATGGACTTCTTTCGTTGCTACGAACAGAATCATGTCGTCTTGATGGACCATGACACCTCATAATCCATACAAAAAGTTGTCTATTGTGGATTGAAAGATTTCTTATGTTATGTGTAAAACCAACGGGAGAAAATTATACTGAAACGTTCTCCATGGTTTATTCATTCGGAGTTGCCCATGCTGCTTAAGTCACTCGGGAAATAGCACCATACGTCTCTATTTGTTCGATCACCTTCTGCACACTTTGTCGTTTCCCATATGGTAAGACACATTTTCAGACGTACGGGCTCACCGTCGATCTCCACTACTGCTTCTGGAACGCTTATTCCTGTCCGTGTTTGAACAGCGCTACCTATGCAGCATTGGATGAATCTGAGTGACTGAAAGAATAGTTCAGATTGTCGGTACTTTGTTCCGATTGTTTTAGTATCAGTTAAAAATGTCATCAATGGCTTCCGGTCAATAATGTTTATCGAAAGTGTCGGTGGGTTACACAATCAGAACATATGCAAGATGCGTGATTTTCAGTTAGGTAATATTTAAAATGAGACGGTTTTGAAAAAGATATACCGATAAACAATATATTTCCTTCAAATAGTAGTTAGTGATAAATACTCCATATTTCGTTTTGGAAATGTCTTTCATCAGCTTTTGAACAAAGCGGGAAAACGTTAAAGACAAGCTGTTTACTTTGAACATATCGGTATTCATTTAGCTTACAGTGGTCTGGAACATTAAAAGTCAAGAAACGAATACTATTGAGAAACTTAAAACACTGTTTTGCCGTCGCAAATTTGAACAGAGAAGTCAGAAACATGGGTTTGCACAATGTATCCATGGTCATTTCGCCGCATCTGTACACGTGCATACTGCAGTCCAAATGATTTTTATAGTCAGTGAGATAACAGATTTGAGAAAAAAAAACAAGATCGCTAATCACAACGGACAACGCAACGCAAAAACACAAAAAGG